GCAACAACACAACCTAAAGCATTGAAGGGGGCTCAACCACCACCAAAAAGACATCACCACCAACATCAACCAGGATAGCAAAAGAGTTCACCCCCCCCCCCCCGGTGGCGAATGGGGGCCACATCTCTGGCGCACAAGCTGGGATTCGAACTCGGGTACTCTCGTATGCGCTAAGCCTGTTGTCGAGTAAGGCCGGTTGGCGTGTAGAAATTGATTGCTGACCATTAACCACTCCACCACCCACGCCACAGCTTTGACCTGACCCCCGACCTAGAGGGCGCCTGCTGTGCTAGTGACGGGAATGGGGTTGAGGAGGTGTATATAGGCTTCCTATCTGGTGTGTATTCATATCTATTCAGGTGGTCGGAAAGGTATTCGGTGAAGAACGGGAAGGTATGACTAAGGCGCCTGCTTGCCGTCCGGGTACGTGGTTGGTGGTGAGCATATGACTGAGGCTGAGCATGGCTGTGTCATTGTGCCTTACCTCACTCTCTGAAGGCTTCACATAATCCTCTCGACAGCGAACTTTACCATGATCGTTGTCAGTAGAAGATCTCTCGACCCTATGTCAACGACCGTCAACCCCTTATTGGAGGCAGACTTACATAGTAACATAGAAGAGGCACGGCCATGATCATACTGGTGTCTATAAAACTTGGTGCTACCCGACGTATGTGTACAGCTTCGTTGGCGAATCCAATCTACAAAACATCTATAGCCACCCAATGAAAGAACACATTCCTAACGAGGCTACATTCGTGACTCGAAATCGCGATAAATACTGTGCGCCTCCATCGTACAAGGACACTTTCAGGTCATTCACCCGCTTCATTCCTGTCCCCTCCCGACGCCAGTCAAGCCCCCAGCAAGACCTTGCATTCTCCTTCCCAATAAGTCATCTGTACTTTTCAGCTTCACGAGGCTCGCGCTCGCGCCCGCACTCTTACTTGCGCCCCTCGCGCGGCCGTTCTTCTTCTTGCCATTCGCATCGGGTACAATGGACTCGCTCTCGTCCAAGACCTGCGGCTCCTTGGTCAGGGTATTCTTGCGGTTCGCTCTCGTCATGCTAATCTCCAGCGGCCTGTCCTCATCCCCGCTCGACTCGACGCGGTTATGGTGCCGTCCCTCGCTGTTGCCGTTTGTGATGGGTCCACCGCCGACACGTCTGCGGCCGCGGCTCTCCTTTTCACGTACAGCGTCGGCTGAGGCAAAGATCTCTGTGATCCATTCCGCTGACCTCTCAAAGTGCTTCCATGCTGGGGGGTACACGGTCGGGAACTGAAGGAAGCCGTGGGAGATGCCGGGGATCAGCATCACCTCGGCAACGTCCTTGGGATTGAAGATGGGCTCGAGTCCATCGCCAAGGTCGGAGCGCTCGGATTGGGCTTGGTCGAATACGGACTCCTTCACCTTGCGCAGACGTGCTGAGAAGATGACGGTGTCGTCGACCAGAGGGTCTCGCTCGCCGGTCAGGAAGTAGACCTTAGGGAAGCGCGCAAGGAGGGAGTCGGGGGTAAGAACAGGAGAGAGGAGGTAGTCCTTGCTGAAGTCAGGTCGATTGTGAGGACCGATATAGAGAATGATCATGGCGCGCATCATCTCGGGCGTGAGCACGCGATCGTTGAAGTACGAAATCATGGACGACATGGCGAGGCGGGTTCGAAGAGGTTCCGAGTGATGGGATGCGCTCTGCTGACGCTTGATATCCGGAGCTGAGGATCCTGCGTTGGACATACTTTGTGGACCGCCATGCGAGAACTCGGGATGGGGACTAGCGAGGGCTTGTTGTGAGGCGATCTGGACCTCCTTGGCCGTCAGCTCTGTCGACTGCTTGTTGGAGTCCTCCTCATCATCACTGTGGTGAGGTGTGCCGACGAGGTCGTTGTACTGCATGCTCTTTCGCCTGATGATCGATTGGTTCGTGCTTCTCAGCCTTCTATCCTTCATAAGTGACATTTGCTCGTCTGACATCCAGTTACCAATGTTCATATCAAGTGCTGGATAGAACAAGACCAATCCGTCAGGTAATGGCAGATCTCCTGTGCTCGAGTAGCGACGCATCGGCACTGACGTTCTCTCGACAATCATGAGAGTCGTTGCCGTGGCCAAGTTACCACCGGCGCTGTCACCTGTAAGCACAATTCGGGGTGTCTCTCTTCCAGACATGCCGATGCATCGTCCCTTGCTTCGAATAAGTGTCGTGTAGACGTCGAAGCACTCGTTCAGAGCGAAGGGGTACGGGAACTCGGGAGCCTTCTTGTAATCCAAGCTAAGAACTGGCATGCCAGTCTTGGACGCCCATGCAAATAGCTTATCATCGTTGCATCGAGGGTCCATGGCGACAAATCCACCACCAGGGATATCCAGGATGATTCTGCTGTGTTGCACGAGATCCGTCAATGGGCCATCAAAGTAGAGCCAAGCCGACACAGGCTCCTTATAATCGCTGCCAGAGGGTCGGGGAATGCGGATTGCGCGCGGCGGCCAGCGGGAGAAGCGAGGCCGCATGAGGCCCTGGAAGAATTTCAGGTACGGCGTCGTTCCTTTGTCCCAAGACACACGCAGATGCTCGACGGTCAACATGCCGCGCACCTTGCGCACCTTTTCGTCAGCCTTCTCGGCGGCAAACATGTAGAATACGGAGAAGACGATGCTGGCCAGGTCGCGAAGCCACTTTGCGCGAATCTTCATAGCGGTCCAAAAGCCGGCATCCAGAGCAGTCAGAATCCATGTTGCGCGGAAGTAGGTGGCATCGTACATGTTGGACATGGGTTCGGGGCTCGCGAGGCCGACCAGAGTGCTAAAGTGCCGGGCAGCGTAGAGGTAGATCATGGTGACCACGACGGTCTGCCATGTCGTCAGGCGCTTCGTCGTGAGCTTGGAAAAGAAACGGATGACGGGAGGGCCGTGGGGGTGTCCTCTGCAAAAGATCTCATCAGCTCCTATCACGACAGCATCGCACGAGATTCAAGACGTAGTGTGTTACCTAAAGATGTATGCCGACCAGAAAGCCAGCACCGCCAGGACCTGAAGGCGGCGCGACTTGACCGACGGCCGTCCCAGGACGTGGTCTATCATGGCGACTGGTGTATGCTATGATGAACAACAGAGCAGTGGACGAAGGAGGAGAAAGAACAAGCAGTGGGTTGCAGATTCCGGCGCAAGGTCATGGGAATCTAGGCACTGAGGACAGCCGGAGGCGTGGCTGACCAAGCGAGTAGCGCAAGACCACGAGTTTGTGGCTGGGGGTAACAATGGATGGCGTTGGAAGTCGTCGACGGGACGGCGCAGCGCGAGTAATGCGATGGCTCCAGGGCTAAAAGGCCATGGCAATGCGTCCCAGGCAGCTCAGAGAAGCGCTTGGCGAGCACGGCGGGCGAAAAGGTGCAGCGACGGACGGCTCGACACCACGGACCGCCACCCGAAGTTGGACTCGGTTCGAAATAGAAGACCGGAGAGGTTCCGGTTGTTTGGGATCGTACACGTTTGGGGAATGGTTTTATGTGGTGATACAAGGAGCTAGAAGCCGAAGATGATGAGCAGCCGAGTGCCTGGAATGAATGACGATATGTTTCGCGAAGGATATGGCGGAGAGGAGTAGTTGAGAGTCGAACGAGAGCTGTCAAAGAAGACCACGATGGGAAGAGGAGCGGTAGCAGCGGCAGCAGCAGCGACAACAACGGCCGACGTTGCTCGTGAAAGAGGGTCCTTGACCAGGGTACCGGCGGCACATGTTTCAATGTGAAAGCGGTCGAGTGAGTGTGTACGCAGTACTCTGTGTGTGTGTCTCTCCGCGTGGGCTCGGTTCAATTGCTGGCTTCTGAGGTGAGATGGTGACGTTTGTTTGGGTTTGGGGGGGAAGGGCAGCTGACATGTGAAGAGGCCCAAACCCACCTGCAGTGTGGGTTTGGCCTGGGTGCTCGAGTCAACCCGCACGGGGTAGGACGGAGTACCTACCTAGAGCTCTAGCCTGTACGCAGCAAGTACGGAGAACCTGGGAGGGGCACGCGGGCAACTGCGGCCTCCGCCGCTAGTCCCCTTCGAGATCCACCCCGGATCCGACACCGAGGATGTCCAATCACGCAACGCCGGTTGGCTCTTCTAGCGCTGTTCCCTTGCTGGTGTTACTGCTGGCAGCTACTGAACCGCTTTCCAACTCCACTGAAGATTGTTATCCTGCAGGGCCCTCAGTCAGGTTGTACCTGTAGTGTCACAGTAAACCAGAAGGGTTACCTAAGCATCAAGGTACACCCGCCTGACCCGCCTATCCCCGGATTCGGGAGACTTTCTTCAGGAACGCATGCGTCGTTCACATGACGAGTCACGCGCACCCAGATTCCCGACACAATCCGGCATCGTGGATAACGCCGGCGCCCGATATCAATATCAAAATCAATCTCGACACTCCGAATGTGCGTGGAAGATTTACCGGCTAGGAAGAACGTCTTCTCTGCTTCTTGCTGTCCATACAGCAATATCCCAGGTATTCATTCCGATACCCTACCAACGCAGATCTCCGCTGCTTTCCGGTAGCACCTTCGCTCAGGATGTCGTCTCAATGCTATCACACTGCGGGAACACGCACTTTCGAGAAAGCTGCACTCAACTTTTTCTTAATTCACCAACCCCATACTGCATTGACGCAATGTACAAATCTGCCCACCAGGCGAAGCGGCTTACCATCCACGGACTACCCGCGATCAGATCAGCATGCCATTGGTCAAAACTTCATGCCTGCGGTGTAACGAGGCATATTTACTGGTTGAGCAGCTCATCAAGCAGGTCACCATGGTCAGCTTAGCTATGTTTCAGGCAACAAACCCCCTCTCTCAGCCTGATTACGTTAAGCAGCACAGGTAGATGGAGAGGCCCTTAAACTCACCATAAAACCATCTCGGCGTAGTTTCTTGTCAACTAGACGTCTTACAACTAAAGAGGACCTTTTCGCTCTGTCACTAGAGATCGATGAAAATACGCAAACATCAATCGCTTGACTCATCATGGACCTATTCCAATACGAACCCCTAGACCTTACAGGGAAATCCTTCCGGCTACTCATGCTTCATCCGGGATCCACCGGCGAGATATCCTGTGATATCTTTGAAGCAAGCCTGGATTCCGACGGTATTATACCCTACGAAGCTTTGTCATATGCGTGGGGTAGCATTGGTCTCTCGGCCTCCATCATTGCCAACGGCAAAACTCTCCGCATCACGAACAATCTGTTCACTGCTTTGAGCCATGTCCGAGATGACTCGATTGGCAGAGTGATGTGGATCGACGCTGTCTGCATTGACCAGGCCAATATTGCTGAGCGAGGTCATCAGGTTGGACAAATGGCAGGTATCTACAGAGGCGCAGAACAGGTCATTATTTGGCTTGGTCCGTCCACTTTCGAGACAAAGCTGCTCATGGGTCATCTGAAAGAGCTTCAGCGGTCTTTCGTTCGCCACAAGCGTCACGAAGACGACCTCGCATGGGCGAAACAGAAGTGGTCGACCATTCGCCAAGGCTCCGAACAAGATCAAGCTGTTCTAGTCGATCTCCAACGAAATGCACTCCTTTCTCTTTTGAGCCAAACTTGGTTCACAAGGATATGGATCTTACAGGAAGTCTCAAATGCGCGCGTAGCCATCGTGCAATGCGGTAACCAGTTCGTCCAAGCTCATATGCTGAACATTGCCTCGAAGCTTGTCGGCGTGACTCCGGAGGCTGGGTGCCAGGCCGTGCTAGATCTATTTCCAACCTCATCGACCCAGAGATCCCCAAGAATGGATGTATTGCCAACCTTGTTGCAAAAGTTTCGAAAGAGCAAGGCAAGCGACCCCAGGGATATGGTTTACGCCCTTGTGGCCATAGCCTCCGACGTCCCGGAAGGTGACTCGGACGGGATTCTCACGCCAGACTACTTTAAAACCGAGAAGCAGCTCGTTGAAGAGCTCAGAAAATATCTGTTTCTTGATTTGCAATATGGGAGGCACATTTTCGAGTACACGATGGTATTGTTCCTCGAAGCCTTACCCCAAGAGACAGGAGGAATCCTCAGGAGCTTCGTGGTCGATGGTCTGACAGAGCACGTCCGTACGCTTCTTGATAGAGGCCAAAGATTCACCGTGGATGGAGAAACGGTCGTCCGTTTGATGACAGGAAAGGGCGGTCATGGTGTCAAACTCCTCTCCGACCTGATTGGTCTCGAGCACCAGAATTTGAGATTCGATACACAAGGGATGGCGACCGCGCTTGGGGTCTGCGACTACGCAACGGCAGAGAAGGTTATAAACCTTCATCAAGGTGACATTCAAGTCGATCGTCATTTTGTCGAGGCTTTTTTCAAACGAGAACAAACCAGAAGTAACGTCACAAAGCTATTCGTCGAACGAAAACGCCATTCCATCGAAGTCACACAAACAGGTTTTGAATCGTTGCTAGATAACTGCCACTCAGTAGCAATAATCAAATTGTTTCTTGAACATCAGAAACAAATCTACAGAATCACCGACTTCACTCTTCAATTAGCCGCTTACGAGCGTGTTTTCAACCGAGGCCCCAGCAGGAGCGATACCTTCACTAGAATAATCGAAATTGCGGGTGATCACACCGTTCAGACAAAATTCGACTTAGATGCGTTGCTGCGATTGATTCGATGCCATGACACGGGGAAAATGGCGTTACTACTTGAAAGCCATTTTAAGAAAGTTAGGGCCTTTGCTTGTGGAGGGTCTCCCGAGCGCATTGTCTGGTCGTTAGACATCATGCCGGATTCAGACTCATCGCAAATCAGGAAGGAGATTGAAGACATGAAGAACAACATGATCCGTAGCACCGAGTCAGAGCCAACGATGACTCGGATAATTAGGGTCGAGACGGAATCTAGCAACGGTTCGTGTGAAAGTGCGACTATTGACCGGAACGAATGGGTCTCAAAGATCGATGTAAAAAGATTTCGATTATTCAGGCACAAGACAAGAAGGCTGTTGGTCGTCTAGAGTACCCACGAGGACATCCGGTCAAAGATCGCGGCGCAGACATGATCCGTCATTCATGTCAAGTATCAGCTTGAACGCGTAACTTGGCACGCGAAACACCGACCCACGGACTGACAGTGCCTAGTTGGAGTTGGAACGACCCAACTTCCAATTGAGGAAATTTCTATTGAAATTTTCTTTCCTTGTACAACACCCTTTTTAATCCAAAGAGAACGTGAAGCTAACATAGTTAATTTTGTCAAATTCAGTTCCGCGGATTCTTTTGCTGTATGCATATCCTTCCCAGGTTCTTATAGGACCGCTTTCAAAACATGAGCAGATAGTCCCAGCACGGGAGAGATCAGTGGGGGGGCCGGAACCCAGTCACAAACAATTGAGCTTCTGGTAAGTTCGCATAGCAACTAGCTCTAGTGACCATGACACGATTCCCGACTTACCTAGACTGTAAGGTTTGGCCAGGCAGTTCTTGGACAGCAACAGACAGAGTCGATTGATACACACAAGCAAGACCGCAAAAGGGAGCCAAAAGGCGTAATCTAGGACTCAAGCTGATGGACTCTTCGATTGAGGGCGCGAGGCTTGAATTACGGTGGCGTTGCGTCTTGTCAACCCTTGGCATGGGCTTTTCACACCTGCTCAGTTGCCCGCTCTTGTTGCGCTTGTCTTCAGCAAATCGCGATTTGGAGTTGGAGACAGCGCGAGAGTCCGCCACACGCAGGTCTCCATGCAATTGGTAAGATTCACCTGCATGAAGCGTGGCCACAATTCAGGCGATTCCGAGGCCCAAAAGGCAGATTCATTGGCGAACCATTTCGAAAGGCAACTCAGCCAATACGTGGCATGCTGTAAGACAAACCCCCTCTCTTGGCTAGCCAGCTTGCCCCAGTAAGAAGAACCTGAAAAATAACAAGCATGCTCTCCTCCAGATCTAGGGAAGGTCGGTTCAAGTTTGACATCAGCACCATCACCTTTTTGCCTTGTTTTAGGCCCTTCAAGCAATATTCGAAGCTCGCAATAAAAAATGTCTTGAGAGTGGAGATGGAACCATTCCAATACGAACCCCTCGACCTTGGGTTGAGGTCATTTCGACTCCTCATTCTCTATCCAGGAGGGGGCGAGATCAGATGCGATATATTCCAAGCAAGCCTCGAACCTGACGAAATCATACCCTACGAAGCCCTATCCTATGCATGGGGCTGTACTGACCTTGTCGAATCTATTTCCGCTAGCGGGAAGAGACTGCCCATCACGAGAAACCTTTTTTCGGCATTGACCCATCTGCGGACCGAGGAAGCGAGGATACTCTGGGTGGACGCACTATGCATTGACCAGAGTAATCTTGCCGAGCGAGGGCATCAGGTCGGACACATGGCCGGCATTTACAGACAAGCGGAGCAAGTTCTCGTCTGATTGGGGCACTCGACGCAAGATACAATACTTTTGATGGACGCCTTGAATAAGTCACGGCGAGAATCAAGGGATACGGAAGGCAACGCCTCATGCCCGGTTTTGCCATTGAACCCAAGCTTCATTGCGAGTCATCTCGATAGGCTCCGAAAGGCTTTAGAGCATCTCTTGGAACAGCCATGGTTTACGAGAGTCTGGGTGCTGCAAGAAGTCTCTTACGCCCGAATGGTGCTGATATGCTGTGGTCATCAGTTTATCCCAGCTAACATGTTCGTTCTGGCCATATCAGCCGCCGGGATTGAGCTCAATGACCAAAAAAGGGCCTTACTGGATTTAATGCCGAGTTCATCCAACAAGTCATCGGCGAGGAAAAAGACTCTTTATACACTCCTCCTACAGTTCCGCTCGATGCAAGCAACGGACCCACGCGATATGGTTTACGCCTTGCTTGGCATAGCATCCGACACACAACACGGTACTGCGGCAACGCTGCTTTCAGCAGACTACTTGAAGAGTGAGGAGCAACTCATACGTGATTTGGGAGCCTACATTCTTGTAGGCGATACTGAATCATGGCTATCGCCGTGCTCTGACATGCTCGTATTCCTCAATGCATTATCAGCCTTGGCAGCTGACAGATTGGTCGATCTCGTGGTTGCCGGGCATGTCGGAGACGCTAAATTGATTTGCCATAGACTTGGGTTATCGAAACCCGAGGTGACTCCTAGCGCTGTGTTGCACCTCAAACGCAGATGTGAGATTTCGGGGTTAAATTCGGCTTTTCGAAAACTCCTTGCTTCAAGAGCTCCAAAACTCGCTTTCAGCATGGATAGTCTTGTTGCTATTCTTACTTCGTGCGACCTTCCCACCGCAGTTTTCCTTATGAAAATGCCTGAGAATGGCCTGTGGATCACCAAAAAGTTGGTCAGAGCGATACGTGAAAGAAAGAATGTTCGGGCGTTGCGTTCGCTGGCAGCGAGAGCACCGGTGCGGCAAGTATTCTTCGAAGAACTGACGCATTGGGGTATCCCAATCACGCAGGAAGCTTTCATCGCGATTTTGTGTTGGTTAGGACCAAAACGAACCGTGGAGATTGCGAACGGCCAATGCAACGCATTCAAGGTCGATCAAAAGCTAGTGGAGGAGACTAGATTGCGTTTTCCTTTCGAGGCAGTCAGGGACTGGTTTGAAGTTATGCTAGCGAGTGATAAGATCGAATTGCGTTTTGACACTGAACAATTCTGTCGTCAATTCGGCTCTGGCGCGTACGTAGCTTACCCTGCTACGAATGCCTAGATCTACGGGGACGTGCCTCTAACTTATTATTCTGACAAGTTAGCTTTATGAGAATGTGTCTTACCTGCGTATCGAGCAAGGGCATACTGCTTCCTAAAGATTTTGGTTACGTGCAATACAATACCATACATAAGGTAGGTACTTGAGCGTTCTGTGCCCACCTCATGTGGAGAGCCAACCCATCTTCGTTGGTATTGAATGAGCAGTGTCCCGAAAGGCTAGGCAAGCCGCGAACGCTGTCTGTGAGAAAGAGGATATGATGACAATTGAGCGCATAATGCTAGCTATGTAGGGCGGTTGAAGGACTGGATTAATTGCCTTATCCCAGAGGCAAGCCCGCAAGACAGCCGTTTCAAGAACATCGGCAGTCCGTCCGAGCCCGACCGAGATCGGAGGGACATCCCCGGGCCAAAGCGCACGTAACGCCGGGAAAGAGTGGATCTGCCCCTCCAAAACGACGCAAAAAGTGGGAAAATGCGCGCCTTATCGATAACATGTTTGACGAGTCACCTCTGTACATGCATGCGCGAACGGCCCAAATTTTAATTGACGACTTCTCTTCAACACCACTCTCTTTTGCCAGTCTTTTACCGCAGAGCCCTGTTTGTTCTTCAAGATACCATAATGGCGTTCCGTGCTCCTCTGCGACTTCAATTGGCAAAGTGCCAGCCTCGTCTGGCCGTCGCCTCGCGCATCAACTCCCGCGCTCTCTCTTCTGCGGCTGCGGCCGCCACAAACGACGTCAAGAGCAACTTCGGCGTAGGTGATCCCATGAAGTCAAAAACTATTCGAGTGACTCACCACCAGACTGACACTGACAATGAGTAGAAGCAGTCATCAGTACCCAACCCCGATCCCACCGAAGACTCCCCGAGCGCCGCTCTCGTCCGCGAACATGCGCCCTACATGGTCGCCACATACGCCCGCCCGCCTCCCGTCTTCGTACAAGGCCAAGGTTCTCTCCTGTGGGATGTCGAGGGCAGGAAATACCTCGACTTCACCGCTGGTATCGCCGTCAATGCCTTGGGACACTGCGATCCTGAGCTGACCCAGATTCTGACCGAGCAGGTGGGTAACTCCGAGCCGCCGTGAGTCATTTTAATACCAGATGCGCTGACAGTACATGGTCGGAACCTTACAGGGTAGCACGCTCATGCACGCCTCGAACCTCTACTACAACCCCTGGACCGGCGCCCTGTCCAAGCTGCTGATCGAGAAGACCCGCGAGGCCGGTGCCATGCACGACGCTAACTCGGTTTTCGTCTGCAACTCCGGCTCCGAGGCCAACGAGGCCGCCATCAAGTTCGCCAGGAAGGCCGCCAAGGTCAGCCAGCCCTCGGGTGACAAGTACGAGGTCGTCTCCTTCAACAATGCCTTCCACGGCCGCACCATGGGCAGCTTGTCCGCCACCCACAACCCCAAGTACCAGGAGCCCTTTGCGCCCATGCTGCCCGGCTTCAAGCTCGGCGCCTTCAACGACGTCGCCGCCATCAACGAGACCGTCACCGAGAAGACCTGCGGTGTCATCGTCGAGCCCATTCAGGGCGAGGGCGGCGTCACGCCCGCAACGGACGAGTTCCTGATCGCCCTGGCCAAGCGCTGCCGCGAGGTCGGCGCCGTCCTCATCTACGATGAGATCCAGTGCGGCCTCTCCCGCACCGGCACCTTCTGGGCCCACACCCACCTCCCCAAGGAGGCCCACCCGGACATCATCACCACCGCCAAGGCCCTCGGCAACGGCTTCCCCATCGGCGCCACCATCGTCAACAGCAACGTCTCGGAGAAGATCAAGGTCGGCGACCACGGCACGACCTTTGGTGGTAACCCCCTCGCCTGCCGCCTGGCCCACAACATCGTCTCCCGCCTCGCCGACCCGGGTCTGCAAAAGGCCGTCGCCGCCAAGGCCGAGATCTTCAAGACCCGCTTCGACGCCCTGCGCGAGCGCTTCCCCGACCTGATCAAGGAGGTCCGCGGCCGCGGTCTCATCCTCGGTCTCCAGCTTACCCAGGACCCTACGCCCATCGTCAAGGCCGCCCGTGAGCGCGGTCTGCTCATCATCACTGCCGGCACCAACACTCTGCGTTTCGTGCCGCCATTGACCATCACCGAGGAGGAGATTCAGCAGGGTTTGGATATCGTTGAGGAGGCCATCTCCGTCACCCGCTCATGAGATCGTGATGACTCACCACCCCACAACTTCATGTGATGAAAGGATGTTTCGATCCATGTAATTAATTTTCGTTTGGCGCCGGCGTTTAAAACCTGACGACACATAGACCTAGATTCCAAACAACGTAAAGCAGCGAAGCGTTGTCGTTCTGAGGAAGTAGTTGCTTTGAGGCTTGCTGTTTTGAGAGATGGACTTGTCGAAAGCTTGGATTTGTTCAATAAAGATGATTGAAACGAACTAGAATGTGCCATCGGAAGAAACTTCGGTCATCTTCATTCAGCTCTTTCACTCACTTGTGTCAATGGTTTCAAATCCCCTTAGGACTTGCTTCCAGGTATTATGTCTGATATTCTAGCTGCGCCTTCCTGGATCTCCAACCTTGCACCGTCAATGAAGAGGAAGGCGCAAGACAGCAGCCATTCCCTCTAGAAGTCTTCATATCCGCCATTTCACGGTATAAGAAGCTTTCTATGTTCCACACCTCCTCCCCTTTCTTCCTCCTCAACAATGCAAGGCACTGAGCATCCAAGCTTAGCCTTCTCATAAGTGAGGTTTCTTGACACTGGGTCTCGTTCTTCAACTTTTACCAGAACAACGATACTTCTTCCTGAAGCTCAGGATCATTAAACTCTACCGGCACGCTCTACAATTTCCCCACGCGATAAACGCTTCGTGGCCCTGGTCTGCACTCACACCTATCAACTGTAAGAGACAACCGCCTTGGAGAGATGTCTAATCAATAACACTAACTCATTCCAAAGATGGACCGCATATCTCAGGCAGAGGAACACGAGCGATGGCTCCAAGAGATAAGAGGACAGTCAAGCGATCGGCATCTCCGTGTTGTGCAGGAGGACCTAGCACGTGATCTCATTGGCGCTCTGTACGATCAAGCCTTTGACATGGTCAATGATCGCTGCGCTACCAACGTCACGCTGGTCGTGGATATCAATGGCCCTGGTCAGATCTTCCATGGCCTAGAAGAGATCGCAGACTACTTCGAGAGGAACCAAGGCCTCTTGTTGATAAAGATGGCCATTGTCGATCGCTTCCGCGTAACCTGCCCCCTCGAGTTCTTTTCGGACCGCGACGAAATTGGAGAAGCCTACAAGCAACGCAGATTGATCATCATAGACATGAACAACGATCACAAGGTCATTCGTATCGAGATGAGACCTGTTGGTCCCAAGGAGGCATTCGATCCGGATGCGCTGATTCCGCGACGTTGTTCAACGTTCGATGTTGACAACTCTCTTTGACGACCACAACCTCAGGTTACCATGGAGTATATCAGGAGAGGAGGCATAGAGAAGAGAGATCGTTGACAAGGCGATGGAATGGAACCATAGTTGAAGGGATCGAGACATGGGAAGATGGAATCCCAAGGCAGATTAGTTCCCAAAGATAATCTCACGCAGTTTTGGGAAGTTTCAAACTACTTTTGGCATTTACAGTCTCGTATCGTTGATTGACCTGAAAGTAAGAAAGAAGCTTATATCCAGTTGTATGGTGGCCATCTCTCTCTCTCGCTGAAAATGCCGACCGACAAATTTGGTTCGTGCTAAATTGAGGCCCCGAGAGGCCATCTTGGTTCTTTCGGGCCTTATATCTAGTTGTAAAAGAATTCCTTCAGCCTTTTCTTGTTGTGGGCATATCAACCTTTGGTAAGGCAGTGGTCTCGATGAAATCTACCCATGGCTGATGGTTATGGGTGTTTACGGTGAGGCAAGCCGTGATGGAGCGATCACAGTTCTTTCCAAGCATCTCATATCATACAACAAGTATACCGAGCCAAGGCCAAAACTGTAAGTCTGGGGTATACACTGACTCAAAGGACCAATAGCAGTTGCTGGTCATCTTGCCTCACACCTCGGTGGACGGCAGGACTAGTGTAAGTTCCATGTCGAACCTCGGAAGGTGGAGGTCAACCTTGAAAGATGGGTCTCGGCTAAATTCCCTTCCCGTGAGGCGGGCCCGATCTTGCCGGATGTCCCTGCGTTGGCGCATCCCCCACGTTTTGCCCCTCCACTCCTTCTCACCTCAGGCTCCCCGGGCAGGTACGTAGCTGCCAAAGCCGTTGGACTTCGGTGTGACGAAAGTCCTCTCGGTGGCCTCTCTTGGCTGCCCAGGAACTCTCCATCTTCATCATGCTTTTTCAATTCAAGTCAACGACAATCGGCAGCGCCCGTCGACGCCTCGAGGCACCTGCCATGTCAAGACATCGATATCCGTAGAGCGGGGCTTCATCGATAACCTCCAACTTACATGCTCGAACGAGCCTAGTTGAAGTCCCAGTCGATAACTATCGGGACAGCCATTACTCGGTCACGACTAATCATCTTGCCGAAACCGCCCCGTTGCGTTGATGAGGTGCCACCATACTGCCGAGAGTGATGCCGTGTCGTCGGGTCATCTCACCGCATCTTCCCCGAGCCCAAGTCCGGATCTTCGTCCAGTGCCTCTTCCGGTCGAGGGAGAACATGATAAGACCAGCGACAGAAAAAAGTCGAGACGATCTTGGCAAAAGAGCCAGACGGCCAAACGGAAGGCCATCGAAATCCGACGGTTCAGCTGTCTCCCAACGCCAGTCTTACCTAAACGCACGTCAGCGGTCACCCTCGCCCTTGGTATCGATGCCACCTTTCCAGCCCTCCCTTCCTTCACTCAAGGAGGGATGATTCGCAACTTGACTGGAGCAAGAATGGGTCAAGACGAAGAAAAACGGCGGAAAAACATGGGACCAGAACAAAGCGCTGTCAGAGACCTGCCATCTACTACAGCCAAGCTTAACGGATACTTCCACTTCAGTCTACCACAGCGAGTTTTCCATCCCGCCATTCGCCCTATCCAGCCCCACCAAACCACACCAAACGTCAGTCGGTACATTCTGAAAAAGCTTGGGAGACCGTCGGTGTCCTCCCCTTCCGCTGGTGTTGCGCACAGCCCACCCTGTTGTTTCGAAACTCGTCCCCTCCCTCCCCCACAGGCAACAAGAGATCGGACCCAGCTTCACTCTTGAATCAGACTGTAGCCAATCGCAACCGGCCCGCACTACGATAATCCGCGCCGTTATAGGATTTTGTCTGCCCCGTCAAGTCGTCAACAGCACTTTTCAGCCCGCTTAAGCTGCGGGAAGGAAGTTTGGAACGCAAGGCACGCACACCAAGCTTTCGAGGGGTCCACCTGTTTGGCTCAGCTCAGCTTGGCGGACTACTCCTGACCATCATCATCTGCCGGTACCAGCGTACCAGCCAACGATTTCAGAAGAATCAGCAGAGTCCTTCCCTGGCTCCCCCGTCTAGTGTCGGGATCAGGTCGATCCCACGTGAGGTCCCTGCCTCTGATCCGCCCTCTTTACCCCATTGGGATGAGGTTGCGGTACCTGAAGCCGTTGTGCTGCAGGAATGTCCAACACGGAATAGGCGACGGAAAGAAGCTTAATGTCGCCTCCGTCTCACCGGCCGGCTAGGCGACTCGAGAGTAGAAACAAGGAAGATCTCACACTGCCTCAGCTATAAGAGTGCAATGGTCGCCAGTCATCCCCTCATCTCATGTGACGACGACCAAGAACCTTGAAGAGTTGTTGATCCAACTTTCAGCTAGCATCGGATAATCCATATTCACTCCTTACTAATATTTTGCCAACTACAATAATCAGTCCTTACAATACCAGCACACAAAATGCACAGCTCGACAGCAGCCTTCCTTCTCGCCCTGCTGGGCACGGCGAGTTCCTCCCCTCTCACGATCCAGCCCCGTCAGGCCGACTTCTCAGGGAATCAGCAAGATGGTCTCGCCGCCGGGTGCCAGTCCATGATCGTCATCTTTGCCCGCGGCACCACCGAGGGAGGCAACGTTGGGACCATTGCCGGCCCGCCCTTCTTCCAGTCCCTTGCGACTCAGGTCGGCGGCAGCCTTGCCGTCCAGGGTGTCGAGTATCCCGCCGATATCCCCGGTTTCTTGGCCGGAGGTGACGCCAACGGATCCCAAATGATGGCCACTCTTACTGAGCAAGCCATCACCAACTGCCCCAACTCGGCCGTCATCATGTCTGGATACTCCCAGGGTGGGCAGCTCGTCCACAACGGTGCTGCGATGATGCAGCCTGACATGGTAGCCAAGGTTGCTGGTGCCGTTATTTTCGGTGACCCGCGTAAGTTACTTTCCATGAAGCCCTTTCAGGGGTGCATGATGATTTGATCTCAGTGCTAACGCATCTCCTTCACAGTCAACGGACAAGCTGTCCAGGGAGTGGATGCCGCCAAGACCAAGGTCATCTGCCACAACGGCGATAACATCTGCGAGGGCGGCAATCAGATCCGCCGCGCTCACTTGACGTACGGCAATGACGCTGATGAGGCTGCCACCTTTGCTGCCTCGATGATGCCGGCTGCTGCGGCCCCTGCTGCGGCTTAAGAGGGACCCCGGCAGCCTTCTCAGAGTTGACCTCGAAGGCTTCTCTGTTTCTACTCACACTCTCGTTGTATATACATATCGTAAATTACTTTTTTTGTGTGCGCAAAAGCCCAAGCCAAACAGGTCGCACTCGCTTATCTACCTACATAGTAGTTATTGTCTTGTGTGGAAATTTCTAATGCGGAGAGGAGGGGAGAAGCGTGTTCCTCGTCTCAGGAGCGAGGTGTTAGGGGCGGTTGTGATCATCATTGGCATAGCTTAGCATTTGCGTAGCCCTAGTAGTATACAATCTAGACCAATGTATCGTGCAATCAGATCTAGTGGGTTATTAGGTGAAGGCGGCGGACATTGCACGCAGGTGTCGGCTCCCGTCACAGAGTGTCTGGATGCTTCTTGGCCTGTTTCAGCGCCACGCCTGATTGAGACCAGACTCTTCATGCTGGGTGGCCTGGTGAGCAACACGACGACCCTTCGAGAAGTTCGGCAGTGCTTATGTCGATGAGCGAATCTTCCAGGGAATACTATTGAGATTGTGACCTTCCATCCAGCTGTCGGGAATCATTATTGCATCTTGGTGTCCTTTGCTCTGCCGCTTTTGTTGTAAGGCGTAGTCTTGCCAGTAGCTGATCAGGAATAGATGTCTCTACGTAGCAGCGCATGCGTATTAGACCATGTGAGGGATGTCTTTCCTCCGTCTTTCTACGCCCATCGACCGTAGTAGGATACGCGTCTCACTTACTATACTAAGACTTGGTCTGCGGCTGCTATCCTGATGAGAGGATTTGAAGACGTGGTCGGACAGATTAGAGTAAGAAGACCAATATGAATATGGTCATCTTCGGCCGTTACTCATGACCTTGATCTTGACTTGGGCGGGTGACTATACCATATCCAAGTCGCATCCCGCAGTACACCCTTCTCACCACCTACAAGCCTACCCAAGAACCTCTCTCCGCCGCAAATCTCGCTTTCATACCGGACTCCCCTTCTATCCTGACCCCACGCACACAACCTCGCTTCCACCTCTATCCTGACTCCACGCATTTAACCTCTCTCTCACCAACTTCACCTCTTCACCGTCACCCTCACAACGCACTCCCACCCCTGCCCGCCAACACTCTCCATCCTCTCCTCGTCCCAAACCTCCACATCCTCCGCAAACGGCTCCAACGCGCCCCGGAAATCATCCCAATCCATTCTTGGACCGACGTACAGCACAGTCTCCACAGCAACCCCCTTCTCCCCGGAACCAGAACTGCTAGAAGCAAAGGCCTCCATGTACTTCCGCACCAGGGCGACTTGCTTCGGATATACAAACATCCACGCCTTCGCTTCCGCCGCAGCGGGGTCGAGCGCCCATGTTCCTGGGACAGTGCGGTGGTTGCGGTGGTATTTATTTGGGGATGGGGCGATTTCGATGCTGGTTAAGTTGAGCTTCCCAGGGGCAGGTGACTGCTGAGACACTTCTTGAGTGGGATCTTGGGCCTGGATATCGGCCAGAGAGTCCAGCAGGGCCTCAACAAGCCCCGTCCCACTACCAATCGAGAGGGTAAGCTCCGGCGTAGGCGGAAGTTGTGCATGAAGGGCTTTTATGAGAGGGATGGAGAGGGTCAGGCAGGAATCCGGGTGTCGTTGGGGTTCGTTTGTGAGGGGTGGGAGGGGCGCGGGTGTGAATGCTGGTGAAGGTTCTTCATCTTCAAGGAAGTCTTCATATTCTGGATCTTCTGGGTTGACTGGCGAAGAGTCACCGGCAGAATTGTGATGGTTGGTGGGCATGCCTGTTATTTCGATGGTGCGGGTGAAGTACACGGAGGTAGGGCCGGAGGGGCAGGTACATGGAGCC